AGACACAGAAGTTAATGGCAAAGGGGACACAGGATGGGGGTCCACAGGTGGGGAAGACCATGGCAAGCCAAGGGAAATGGGGGGGCACCATGCCTGGAGAGGAGGGGCAGGGGCACCAACATACAAGTTCACCCACAGAGCTATTTTCCCTAAAGCTGGCCCTGATTGTGGATCATGGAGTGAGCTGATGTTTTGGGCAATTTAGTTTTATATGGCTGGAAGCCCCACGGTGATGGCAGGTACCTGTTTTTCCACAGGGTAGAGCGAGAGTGGGAAATAATTTGGTAACTGGTCAAGAACTCTTCTATGATATTAATGTGTAGTGTCTGGGACAGAGTGGGGGCAGAAGGGAGCTCGGGTAGAGGATTGGGGTGCAGAAGGTGAGGGTGAAGGAGGGAGGTGTGACTTGGGGCAGGAGACTAGGGTATAAGGGGGGTGCAGGGTCTGGGAGGGGGATGAGAGAGCAGGAGAGGATTCTGACCTGGAAAAAGAGAGTAGGAGGTGGTATAAAGGTCTGGGAGGGGGTTGTGGCCTGGGGTGGAGGTACTGGGGTTTGGGTTGTGACCTGGGCCAGGAGGGAGTAGTGACCTGAGGCAGGGGATTGGTTGCAGGATCTTGGAGGGGATATGGATGCAGAAGGGGGTGCAGAAGGTTTGGTTTGTGACCTGGGACAGGGAGTTGGAGTGAAGGACGGGATGTGGTGCCAGGTGCAGGCTTTGGGCGGGTGGCACTTACCTTACATTTCCTAACCTGGGATTACAAATAGGTATAGATGCTCAAACTCTAGGTTAACAAAGCTATGGTATGGTAACTTGAGTTCTAATAATCCTGGGCTTACACTGCAATGTAGACATAAGATCCCTAATTTACACACATTTGAACATAACTATCATTTGTGGAAATGTGTAAGCGCTCAAAATTTTAGCAGTTACACATTTACATGGGAGGAAATGTGGAAATGTGTAAGCGCTCAAAATTTTAGCAGTTACACATTTACACGGCAGGAAGGGGGGAGGAAGGGACAGGCAGGAGCCAGTGCTACGGGGCAAGCACCAGCTCCCACCTGCCCCCCACCTTATCTCAGACAGGCAGCTGGGTGAAGGAGGGGCAACATGCAGGACACACTCTCCCCTGCATAATGATAATCCACAGTTTGTCAAATAGCTCTTAGAGCCCCATAGGCCGTCAGCATAAATTAAGGTAACCTTGAGGCTGCTTTAACTTGGGCCAGGCATCAGACCAGACGACCAGATACCATCACCCATATTCTTCAGGGTTTTTTTTTCTGTGTCTCATTCTCCTGAAAACAAGGAGTTCAGCTATTTGAATGCAGCTCCTTTTAGTAACTAAAACAAGATTGAGAGAGAAATTCAAGAAGAGAAACAAGAACAGGGATGTTTCAGATCACACTAGTGAAACAAAATCTGGAATTCAAAGTGACTGCCATTATGCTACAGACTGTAATTTCCTCCAATCATTGGTTCTAGTTAACTGTCAAAAATTGAATAGCTGGAGTTAATTTATCCCCACTACAGAGACTCAGGTCACAATGTAAAACAGGAAAAGGCCCATAAAAATCTAGCACTGAATATTCCACAGCTTTCAAGGCTTTATATAAAATAAATTGAATGCAAGAGCATCTTTTACCATCCTCTTAAGCCTGCCATCTGGGCAAACTAAAAATAAAGCAGCAGCTTAAGGAGAGGAGGTTTCAGAAAATGCAGTCTAGAAATACATTGATAAAGATTTGCTAGGCTCTTAAAACAACTCTGATATGCTAATTCTCCCAACTGAACTTTGTGGATTACCTCTTCATCAGTCTCTTTGGTTAATGCATTACCTGCAGTACCTTTTTAAATTTAACACACATCCTTGCTAGAATCTTCATATCGGCCAAGAGCTTTCTCTCTAAAATAGCTGGATAGTTTATCAACCTATCAGGAAGGCACAGAGTACTCACTACCCAGTCCTGTTTAGGATATTTTGGATGCGTCTACACAAGCACTCTTCTATCACAATAAGCTATGCAATTTGCCCTATGCAAATTGCATAGCTTGTTCAGAGTCTAAATCAAAAGAGCTCATTTTGAAATTTCAAAATAACGAGGGTTACAGTGATGCCGGGAAATAGCAGGCGCTTTTAAAGACACGGCGTTGCTATTTCAGGATACTTCCGGTATCCCGAAAGAGCAACACAGTCTAGACATTTATGTGATGGATGAGGATGTCAGAGGGTGCTCTGAAAGCATCAGGATTGCCTACAGTTCAGAGGAGAGAATCCTCAGGCGCAAGATTGGACGAGCGCTTCAGATTTACCCTAGACAAAATATTTCTGCCAACTGAGAACATGTAAAATGAAAACTTGTGTACACTGGGTTAACTATTTCATAGCAATACACAGGGACACCCATCAGTACGTTAGAATCACATGACTGCAACACATTCAGAAACTAATGGGAAAATACCCGGCACAACAGATTATCACAGCTCCTGCTGTACAAATACAAGTACATTTATCAGGGCTGTTTCACATTCTTTGAATATTTCTCTACCTCCCATGTAACTGCCCTTCTGATTATGTTCGTCTTATAACTGCCACTAACTGTTTTAGAGACGTAGGGAAGGGGAAAGTCTAAATAAATGTTTTATGGAACATTTTTATTACACATTTAATTATATTATAAACAAACACTGACATTTAAAAGATTTAATAACAAAATGTTTGGATACTGCATACAAATATTGAATGCTACCATTGCACCTTCTACTGGAGGCTCTTAAACATTGATTGAGTCTCATAGCATGCCTATAATAAAGTATTAATCTATTCATTTTATGGAGCAGGTAATTGGGAGCAGAGAGAAGTTAAATGACTTGTCCAAAGTCATACAATAATCAATGATAAATCAAGTGAGAGACCCCAATCATCCTGTTTCCTGTTCCCATAAGTTGCTCACTAAGATAACTTTTACACTTGGATAGTTCTTACAAGAGTATTGTTGCAGACTGCTCATCAGTACAAGTTCTACTTACAAACAAGAATCAGCTACTTTGCTATATTTCCAATGCCTGAAAAATACCTCGAAGGCAGCAATAACATGGGCACACAGAATATATAGATGCTACCAACACAAATATTTAATTGAAAAAAAGCACACATTCAGAAAAATAATACAGGCTGGACTTCCCTGGTCCAGCACCCTGGGACTGGAGCTGTCCCAGACCAGGGAGTTTGCCGGACCAGGGGAGGTCAGTGCTCCCCTGCTGGCTGTCCCACTCCTGGGCTCCTCTCTTTGGGGCTCCCTGCCCTGCCGCTGGCCCTCCTAACACTAACCAGGCATAGCTCCCCACCCTACTGCCCCAAAGTCTCCTGGCAGGGACTGCTCAGCTGCTGTTTGCCCCGCTGCCGCATTGTTCCCCAGGGTTCCCAACAGGAGCCAGCCAGCTGCCACTGGGAGAGGGGGGTCCCTAGCCCAGGTGCCCGGCTGACCCGCCTCTAGGGCTGGCCCTGCAGCCACTGGAGATTCCAGCTGCCCGCCTCCACCAACCCTGCTACTTGTGTGGGTTTACCAGGATTCTTGGCTGGGCCTCCACTTCAACCGGGGGTTCCCTGGCTGGGACTCCCTGGTCACCTGGCCCTGCTAATGCCAGGGGTTCCCCAGCCAGGATGGGGTCTCCCCAAATGCTGCTTGGTCCTGCTGATGGCGGGGGTTCCCTGGCCAAAGCAGAGGCTTCCCAGACACTGCTTGGCCCAGCCAGGGTTCCCCAGCCCGTGTTGCTCCTGCCTCCAGGCTCTTTGGTACAGCAACATCAGTGGCCCTGCCAGACCACAGATGTTGCCAGACCAGAGTGTTCTGGATTTGAGAGGTTCAACCTCTACCACAAAATGTTGCTGCATCATTACGTGAGTGAGTAACAAATATAGACTTTTTTTAAGGCACCTCTTATCTTCCCAAACTATGGGTTGTTAGTAAGACCACGGATTTTTTTTGAGAGTTCTCGGCAGCAAATTCTAGTATTTATGTATGGAAACTGTCACTTATTCTAAGATACTAGTCTCAGTGGGAAGCTGCTAAATTAAATATAGTCTCATCTTCACTATACAGGGAGTTACACAAGTGAGTTCCATTCTTTAGATCAGCAGACACAGCAGCATTGCAGTAGTTATTTTTATAGTCAAATCCCTAATACTGAAGTTATATACATCACATATAAAACTGTAAGATGTAAGTCCCGCAGAAGACAATTTAATCTTTGCCTTCAGGGCTTTGCCCTTCATAGTAGGTTCCTTATTTACTTCCCTCAAAAGGAGAAAAATTACTTCATGCAAAAAACTACCCTTTTTGGAAGACTTAGGAGGAGTCCAACCAACTAGCAGTCTAGTCAAAGTTTATGCCTGTTCCCAACTCTCCTGTTTTTAAATTTGAAATGTATATTATTTTTAACAAGCAATTCCTGAGTAGATTGTGAAAAATTTACACAAAAGTGAAAACCACAGGGAGAGCCTTAGAAGCAACCATTCTAACATGCTGTCAAATACATGAACCAAAATAAGGGAAATATTCTAAAGTTTTCAGCTGAAATGATCTTAGGTGTGTCTTAACACTCAGTTTGAAAAGAAAAAAACCCCCACAACCCCAAATCACGCTAAGGAATGATTTAAATTGATAGCATCCCTTTAACAATCTTCCCAATTGCCTGCTAGATGTATCCTTCTTTACCTTCTTTTGACTAAATTTGTCACTTCTGGTGCAAGCCAAATATTTGGCTTTTTTATGTATTGCTACTTACTTTTTTCTACCAGTTCTCTCACTGTTGAGAGTGTGTCACTTAGCATGAAAGTGCTACATAGTCCTGTATTTTGTTTCATGAAAATGGGTACCTGCTGAATGGGTACCTATCCAGAGAGTAGAACAGTTACTGCCGTCATGCACGGAGAAGCTGTTAGAAGGAAAAGACTGTGCAGACACTGTTTCTGTTCTGTACAAAACAGGGGCCTACCTGCTCTGGCTCCAGGCCCAGCTGCTGTTTCAGTTTCTCCTTATCTTCTCTCACCTTCAGCACAGTTCAGTTGCTGAGGTAACAGATCTCCAGCCAATTCACACTCTTCCAGAGTATCAAAGTCCAAACAAATACAAAACCAGTCTTCCGTCCCAGCCTTAAGCTGGACACAGCCATGCTTTCTAAGGGGCTGTTTCCTTTTTTACCTCATTGTGCAGTTCAAGCCACTCCTGGACTCTGCTCAGTCTCTTTATCCTCCCCTCCTTGGCAGGGGGTCACTGCTTCAACTTGCTGGTAACAGTATAAACAACCACTCAATTCTGTGTTATTGACAGGGAATTACTGCACCCCAACAGTGTGGCACTAGACAGAGAACCCACACCTATCCCCATTCTCTTCTGTGCATTCCCAGCCTTGTGAACTCTACCCAACTGATCTTTCTGCCCCTGTAGCCTTTTCAGGGCCTCTTCCTGTGCTCCTAGCTCTACTCCCACACCTTACACAAAATGCTGACTCACAGGGCTTTGCTTGTAGTCCCTCTGTTTGGCTCTTTACGCTGAGTGAGCCACAAGCTTACTCCTGCTTTCCCAAGTAGGCTTTTAACCACTGCATTTTCCTCCTCCCCAATTGAATTCATTTCCTCCACCTGAAGAGGCAAGCCTGTCTGGCACAGCTCTTTAAGGGACAGCCCTCCATTATACTTTCCTCAGTATAACAATTAACCCTTGACATTGCAAACCTACACCATTTCCACTCCATGCCTCAGCTGTTCTAGAATGTTGCAGGTAATTGCCATGTATATTTATTCTTAACTTAGATGCATACACAGCAGGTATTTTTAAAAACAAGAGTATTTAAATGAATATATCAGTTATATGCAGGCTCCCTCCCCCATTACACAAGTTCCCAGCTTTAGTCCCATTGCCCCCTCTCCCAAATATGCAACAGAATGTAAAATAAAGGATTAGAAACTTATTTTTCTTTAAATTACAAAGAAAACCTTCAAAATATGAATTAAATGTAAAGCATTAGTGTTATCTTTCTGCATCTGCAGAGAGCCAAAAAGCTCTGAGATACAGCCCTAACATTCCCTTGAAGGAGGCAAGTCTAAGACCTAGTAGCAGCTAATAAGCATCTCTTTTCATTTATGTTCATTTTTTCAAAAACAACTAGCATATTTATTCATTTTCAGGTGATCCAGGTCTGACAGTGAAGGGAAGAGCTGTGTGGCAGCATTACTGTAAAAGAGAAGGGAATTTGGAATTCTAGGTGTCCCACAGAATTTCACAATATCTGTGACCCTACTGTCCACATGAGGGAAGGAGAAAATGTACCCTCCTTCCCAGTACCATAAAGCTCAGCTACCGCTTTGAACACAAAATCCCAAGCCACTTACCATTTCTTCCTTGATTCCAGAAGGCCTGGCTGTCTCCTTATACAGATACCACCCACTCCCAGGAAGCTTCTTCCAAAGTGGTTTCCACAGTGCTCCAGGATCTTGAACAGTGGGGCTTCCAGAGTAATGCCTTATGACCCAAGCGGTAGTTAGATTCCTTAGGAGCCAGTTATGTACAAACAGCTCACCTCTTCCCCTCCCCCTCCCCCCAAAAAAGCACAGTTCAGAGTCAAATTTTCTACAAGCTTAGTATCCTGTAGCTCCCATTGTTCTCCAGATCCAATTGCACTTCTCATTCTCAGGGGGGAGGAGGAGAAGTCAGCTGCAATATCTAAATGAGAGCTGAACTTTTTGAAACTGTAGCCCATATTGCCTATTTTTAACTAAATGTTTCCAGATGGGGGCAAGAAAAGGAGGCTAGCCAGTGGATCTCTGTGTTAGGAAAGCGTTCGGAAGATTTAGCAGAGCACTGCAGGGACACTCATTCAGAAAGGCACCCTGCCACTACATAGCCGTTTGTCTCCTGGAAATACTTGTTCATGATGGAAGGGTCTGACTAGTCTGGAAGCAGTTATGGTTAGAGCCCTGTAAATCTGCAGATACCCACAGATTTACAAAGTGGATATCTGCAGATGTGGCTGTAGATATCCACGGCTCATTTTTGCAGATGCAGATACAGATATATTTCGTACCCTCCCAGAGCTCTAGATATAGTAAGGTGAGTGAACAATGACTCAGAACTAACACCTCGACATTCTTGATACATTGCTTTAAAATTGAAAAGTATCCCAGGAAAATGGTTCAAAAAGTTTATTTGAATATTTAATTTACAAAAATCATATATCCTAGGTGGTGTTCTATGCAAAATTGGATAAAATAAATTGTGTATAAAACCCAACCCAATCTATTAATGCAATATGACAAAGAGATGAAACCACGAGAGAGGAAAAAATATAATCATATGACACACAAGACATTCATTTAAAAAGATTGTCCCAATCACCCAAAACTTGGTTTCAACTGGATATCTTCTTCCTAGACACAATGTGCCATTTTATACAAGGATTTTCTGTACTCAACTGGCTCAGATTTGTAGCTCGTGAAAATAGCATTTGCAATGTGCCAGTTCCACCCTGCTGTTTTCATATTGATCAGGAGGTGAATACAGGCAGCATACGCATTTAACATACGCATTATTACTGAGAACTTACTATCTTTGGTAGGGACACTAACTGTTGTGGTGAAGTAAACCAAATTTTAAAAGTGACAAGAACGTCAATTTCTATTTTGGGAGAAAAAACAAAACAACAACCCGGGATTAACTCCATTGTTAAGGAGAAATGTTACTGGCAGTTTCTTCTGTAGATATAAACAGGGAGTAGATCAGAAGTAGAGACTGTCTGGAATGTTTTTATGCTATTTTTATTAACATTTCTTGACTGAAATATGGTTATAACTGTCTGGAGGCCTGTTTCATTGCATGCACAAAAAGATATTTGTACACACAATGCAATATAGCAACACTGGACTGCCTTTTAATCTTTAAGGCAGACATACTGTTACTGTAGGTAGGAGTACTAGTTTGGATGCACCTTCCTGGGTGAGTCAACAATGGAATTTTGCAAGCACTTCTGTAGCAATTTTAAAAAGGGTTTTCTGGGAGGGGAGAGAGAATGAAGAGATAAGCAAAAGGCAATGCAAAGATGTCCATGGGGAAAAGACAAAAGCAGTCGCACCAGAAAGAGACACAAGCTAAGAGACATCACTTTTAAATGAAATGATGAATTACTGGACTGTTTCCTTCGTAACTTCAATGTATTTCTAATCATTGGCCAATTTTCAAAGTTAGGTAGTTGTCATTAACTGTAACTCTCAAGTCCTTCTCTTCCCTTATCCATATAAGATATATGGAAATATAGGTATACTCCTACTTAAGTGGAAATGCAAATTACCTGCATAGCCATGATCTTTAGCTGACAACATTTAGTGGAAGACTAACCGCACTTAATCACTAGGTTCTTCTGTTCACTTACAGGGATGAGTAAACATGCATTTTAATGACAGGCAGCTAATAGTCCTTGAGATGGCATTTAATGACAAATAACTAATTTGGCAAAGAATAAGGAAAAACATTTCAAAATGCATAAAAATCGTTACCAGGAGCCTTGGTGGGGAACATCAGTTACAATATATTAGCGAATTCTGTGGCATAAACATTTTTTAAAGCATCAGCAAAGTATTAAATATAAAAGCCATATGTATATACCCCTCCATCCTCAAAAAAGCATCATGATTTGTAGTGTATTAAATCAGGTTTAATGACTATGGCATTAAGGCATATCGGTACACAATATTATTTATTGCCTCAGCTCAACATAATTTGCCGGGAAGAGCCCATATCTGCCTTTGCACACTCCCCTCCACCAGCCGTCATCAATCATTTCTATGTTTGTGATGATGTCATCTGGATCAAAGGAAATCTCATCATCGCCCGCTGAGGAAAGATTGAAAGAGGCAATGTGTTTAGTACTCTCACATGTTGTTCTACTGTGGTCAGCTTTTTCCCAGGTAATGGCACTTGTAATTCACAGAGGAGCCTTACTAATTTTCGCTTCCTTCAATGTGCTAAAGAGGGAAGTTTAAAAACAGACTAGAAGATGTGATAATCAAAAGACTTCTCTGAGCAACTGACTCCCTTTTACTTCTTTTACAGTAGCAGTTTTTGTCCTAAGAGGAGAACATTCATATCTATTGCATGGGTAAGCTGTTAATCAAGTACAGGGGCTCCTGCCCGTCACACTAGGATGTGAAGGCCTAGTTGACAGGCTAGTAGACCAGTTGCTTGCCCCCTCCCTCCGCCTTGCTTCCTCTATCAGAAGGAGGCAGCAATGGGGCGGGGGAGAGGAAGGGGTACATCAAAGCAGCTCTCCCTCCGTCTTGCTGCCTCTATCAGAAGGAGGCAGCAATGGGGTGGGGGAGAGGGAGGGGTACTTCAAAGCGGCAGCACTGAATGGAGCCTGGGGCCAGATCCCGTGCACCACCAGCACTGCGGCTTTGAAACACCGCATGCAGCTTAGGGCTGTTGCTACACTTCAAGGGCGGAGGCGCCCTATCAACTAATCGAATAGTCGATGCAAAATGCATCAACTATTTGATTAGTCAATTACTTGCAATTTAACATCCCTAAATCACACTAAGGAAAACTTTTTAGATATGGATACTGCTAGGGAAAAGCGACAAGGAGTCCTGTGGCACCTTATAGACTAACAGATGTATTGGAGCATAAGCTTTCATGGGCAAAGACCCACTTCGTCAGATGCATTTAGTGGAAATTTCCAGAGGCAGGTATAAATATGCAGGCCAAAATAAGGCTAGAGATAACGAGGTTAATTCACTTCTAGCAGCTGATCTGGAGGTGTGAACAGCAAGAGAGAAGAAACTGCTTTTGTAGTTGGCTAACCATTCACAGTTTGTTTAATCCTAAACTGATGGTGTCACATTTGAAGATGAACTGTAGCTCAGCAGTTTCTCTTTGAAAACTGGTCTTGAGGTTTTTCATGTTATTCAAGTTATTTTCATGTTACTCCTCAGCCCTGGGAGTCACTTAAAATCTAACAGCTAGAGCTGGGTGAATTCTGGGTGGGGGGGATATGTATTATATGAACATTACACAAGACGGAAAGTTATTCATAGGATGCACAATTCAAGGGAACAAGACATGCACTTACCAGCCTGATAATCATAAAGGGCAATGGCTGTAATTCCAAGTTCATTTTCATATTCATCATAAGTATTTTCTTCTAAAAAAGGTTGGAAAAAGACACATTAGAGGACTAAAACCACACTATGTATAGACAGAAACTTATATATGAAAGTGTAATCTGGCATTCTTCTTCCTCATTCTCCATTGTAATTTGGACCACAGATTGAAGCGAGAAAACCAACTAGCCACGTGTCAGGGAACACCCAGAAAAGGCACAATTTTGAAAACACCGGCAATATCTTTGATATTTTTACAACAAATCAGAAACTGAGTTGGATGGGGATGCTGTTAAGGCCAGGAGCACGAGAGAGCTGAAATGAAGCCCTATAGCTTTAGTTCAGGAAGATGTCTATATAATGTCAATAGATCCAGGAGCACACTTTAAAGAGAAATTTCATTCTTGCATAACCTTATTTGGGATGGAGGTAAGGCACTTTATGAACAGATTTTGAGAAAAACAAATGCTTTAACAAAATGAAAAAGCACCATTCTGCACATCTTTTATATATATATATACACATACATATACATACACACACAAACCTCTCCCTTACCACAAAAAAGTGACATGTAAACAGGAAGACACTCTTCCAATCTCTACTCCCCTGCCAGCACATTTAAAATTCAAAAATATAATGTTAACAACTTAGATTAAGTTGCTGCCCAAATCTACGACAAAGACATGTCAACTTCATGGAGTCACTACCTACCACTGAACGCACCAGCTCAGAAGTAAGAACACTCTACCTGCTTGATAGAGGTCTCCTGTTCCTGCCACTTCATAGACTGTCTCTGGGTCATATTCTGACTCCCGTTGACTGACTGCTTCTTGGTAGTCTGACTCTTCAGGTTTGTAGCTGGATTCTGGCTCATGGACAGTTGAATACATTGTACTGGAATTCTTGTAGTTTGGCTCTGCCTCATATGAAATTGCATCCTAGAAAAACAAAAGTGAAACTTGTCAAGGTCACAAAAAGAAGCCCCTCAAGCAGGACATCAATAGTGCCAAAGAGAAGAGTAAACTAGGTCCTGCATTCAGCACTAGAATTCAAACAAGTGAAAACATCTCCTTTGAAAATGGCAACATTCAATACTACAAGACAACTATATGTAAATGCGGGATAGTCTTGAGGTCACCTTACCATAAGTATGATTAGAATCCAAATGAATAGTTCAGATATTCTACAGATAGTATCTAGAGACTTAAAAGGCATCATGTCACTAGTTCCTAGTACAAGAGGTGCATTATAACAAAGCAAATACGTGTATCTGTAATGGCAACAGACTCACTATGCAAATATTTTCATATTGCTGATACATGGTAATTTATGGAGTAGATAACGATTTCTCACAATTAGATATATTTTTGCTTGTTGCATTTATATTCTCATTTATAACAAATATATTCACATTTTTAACACTAGGAACAATAAACATACCTCACTTGAATTCAATTTCACCCTCTAAGGCTGAACTGTAACATTAGAGGAGTTGTAAGAATTTCATTTTCCACCTTAACCCTTTTTAAAATATTTCAGTAGGAGAGAGAAATTTCCTGGATACAAAACTACTCATACATCCCCCCCCCCTTACATTGGGCACATCTAGCTATAAAACTCCGACTCCCTGACTCATGAAATAGAACCACCTACAAGAAGGCAGCTTCCCACTTAAATACTGGACATCATTACTTTATAGCAAAGCCATAAAAATTACCCACAGGTATAAATCTGTTCACCACAGAAATGTGTTTAAGGACAAGCTAGTCAATTTACTAATTGTGACTTTGACTAACCTCATAAACTGGACTTGAAGGTGGCTTCTCATCACCTGTCTGTGGGGTAGGAGATGGAGGTGGTGTTTGTTTTTTGGCTTTAGCTTGTTCCTTTGGGGAAAAAAAGTGATTAAATTCAGGAGAACTTTAAACAATGTTTGATTCCAAGACAGCAAATAAGAAGCAGTGTGGATGCAATGACAAGTGCATTCTCAAACTTAGTCAGAAAGGCTTGTGACAAAGAGTGGTTTTGTGACTTGAAAACATAGCATCTAACTAATTGCATAACCTGTTTAATTGACTGGTCAGAAAAGGAGTAATTTATGTAGATTACCTGTAGTTACAGACTAACATATGTATGTAAAGAGCTATATGATTCGATTCTGCTCTTTGGAATATTTCCATAGGATCTTTAGGTTATCTGAATTCAGTATTTTAATCCATGAACCAGCCTTCAAACTGCAATTTAATTCAAGTATAGGGACCATTATACCACATGTTCTAGTAACAAACGGACATGGTCATTTTTATGAGAAACAAATTTACGCTTTTCCTGGCATGAGAACTAGCTGACAAGGCAACAGGGTTTAAATAGCTAGGATAGAATTAAATTCCCAACAACGTGAGGATCTTTTTCTACATGATGCAAATAAAAGCAAGACTACCTCCATATTCTGCTACACGGTGTGCATCAGGAATGGACCAATAATTTGGAAGCTTCATGCATCAGGAATGGACCAATAATTTGGAGCTTCACAGTCCACTGCATGCTATATTGTCACTGATTTGGGTGCAATCTCCAGAAAAAAAGAGATGCGTGAATCTTTGGATTAATTTAGGACAGAGATAGGATGTAAAAGTGCAGGAAGGTTAATATTACCTGAATGATTTAAAAAAGTTAGGCATTACCATCCAGTTAGTATATGCCTCATTATCTGCAGTACTCAGGAGCGACTGCTTGGGCCACTTAGCAACAAAATTTAACATGTCTACTTTGTTTACGACTTCTCAATAATGTAACAGATATTTGCAGGAGCACGCAGTACTCTGAGAATAGAAGTATGTATTCTTTGCAGAGACATAACCAATATCTTTCTTTTTTATTGCTCCTTTATGATAAAAAGATGGCATTGTTTATAATCAAAAAAGGGAGGGTAAGGATCAGGAGATTGTGTTTTTCAGTTCTTCAGAAAAAATTAGGACCATCTAGGCCAGTCTTGCCTACAAGGTCTTCTGTAGAAATCCTAGCCCATAGCAGAAAGACTTACTCCTTTGCTTCACATGGTTTTTCAAGAGGCTGAGTTAAACAAGTGTAACTAGCACACCAAGAACAAGTGTGTTGAACACTGGCCCTGCTTGAAGAATTCAGCACTTTGGTGCTGAGCTCTTATGAAAATCTGCCCCAGTATTAGCAAGTCTACTCTTTCTTGGCAATTGCTCAGGTTTTAGTATCTTGGAAAGCTTTCTCAGGGAGTTCTTTAGCAACAGAGAATTCAAGACATGACGTTTATGATGTAGAGCTGAACAAGCAAGTAGAAAAAAAGAAGTTGAGAGAAGTTAGAGGTGTACTTTAGGCTTTACTATGAAGCAAAATAATGGCAGAAAAATTGGTGTTGCAGTTGTTTAAATTCTGCAATTATTTTATATGTAATATTTTGTAGCATTAGATAGGTTTTGCAGATTTCCACCCTAGCTGTGCCACTGACTGTGGGACTCTGGGTAAGCTATTTAAACTTAATGCCTCAGTTTCCTTACCTCTAAAAATGAAGTGGAGATACTGATAATGATCCATCTTTGAAAAGGGTCTTATGTCCTTTGGATGAAAGGCACTGGAAAAGTGCCAGGTATTATACTATATTAAATTGCTACAAGTGAAAAGTAAGTTCATTTCTGTTTAAAGATAGACTGAAAGTATCTCAATGCTAAAGTAGCAGCCTCAAGTGTTTAAGTACAGTCTGAGTTTTGCATTCTTTAAAATGGCTACATGCATCTCAGACTGTAGTTTTTAGATGCCAAAAGTGTAAATTTCCATACAACATTAAAGATGCTTAAAATATGGTCTCGCCAAGCACCCCAGAACTGAGTTTCTGGCACAAATAAAAATCACGCTACATGAAGCTTAGATTAGAAAGCAGTTCTAGGCTCTGAGACTAACAGTCATGGCTGATTCAAAGACAACAGAGCATGTAAAGAAAAGCTCCCTGAACACCATCCTAACTAGAAGTAAAATAAGCATGACAGGGAAAACAAAACAAACTCTCATGTGGCCAACAAGAGCAGTGAGGTAATTAGCTGAAACAGTCTAGAATGAGCGATCACTCTCAGACTAGAGACCCAGAAGTGGGAAAATTTGCATTCATACTCTAGGAAACCTATATTGCAAAAATCATTTTTTCCAGTTTAAACTAACAAGGCTATCTGCTATTCTGGATTTTACTATACATACACTAGTTGTATGTTTCTTTGCTTAGACACGCCTTTGGTTATATAACAGTCAATTCATTTATTCTGTGATATTTTGAATCTCTCTTCCATACAGTTGAACTAGAATGTAACACACCAATTTTTATGTTTTAAATCTATGCAGTGTTGGTCATCTGCCTCCGAGGCTGTCAGTCCTCAGAGTCCAAGGGATGATGTGCAAGTTCCCTCATCCTAACTTACAATGCCCACAGATTCTCTGGATCCATTCAATCTTTGGAGTCTATTGAAATGGCTAACAAGGATGGTTATTTGTGTAGCACGCTGCCCTGTACCTAAGACCACCAACTCGTTTCCCAAGAGTGGCAACTACAAGCCTTGTCTGGACTTCAACCAGTGGTCTAGGCATGAAAGAACACTTACTGCTTACACTCAGATCGGTCTCATTGACAGGCGACCATCAGAACTACTCAGTAGAACGCCATTATTTAAAATGAAAAACCATACACGTTTCCAGCATTACTTTGTCCTGTGGAGCATGTGGCAATTAAGCAACATTTTCTCCATTTACAGTTCTAGGATTCCATTAGATACTCAGAAGTTCCTGTTACAGCTCTTGTGGGAGTCCAACAGTGTATCTGGAGGTGAAACATGGTGGGAAGGGGCCCTGGCCCTCAGGTGTAGTGCTATAACCAAGATATTTCAATGTCCAAATCTAGCAAGCAAGAAAGGAATGTATTTTCCAGTAGATATAGCTTTCTCCTCTCCCACTTCACACTCAAAAATCACCAGCATTTGCTCAGAAGAGCTGTGAATCTTACTGACTTCTAGTTTCTTTCTGGCCTCCTCCTGTTCTTGTTTCTCCTGGGCCATTCTTTGTGCTCTCTCAGCTTCTGCTTTCCTTCTGTCTTCCTGTTCCTTGTCTTTGGCTAGGTTTTCAAAGTTAGCTCGGATGTTGCTTGTTTTAGTATTCACTGTAACATTACAAATATTAAAACAAAGTCAAGATCAAAATGAAAACCAGACAAAAGTGTTCTGCTTCCACAGAATCTGTGCAAGAGGCTACACTGGAGTCAGATCACAGCCTGAATTCATAGTGGGAGGGGAAAAAACATGTCAGGAGGGTTTCCCGCCTCTACAAGCTCCCTGAGTATGAGCCTCCCCATCCTTCTCTATTGCTGGGAATCCCTTACCTCTATTTCCTCCATGTTCCACTCCCTCCATTCCATTGGATCCCATTCTTCCCTCCCCAACCATGGCAGGGGCTGTGTGTCTTGCCAGATCATCATTTCCCCCACCAGACACCCCACCACTCTCCTGTCAGACCCCCATTTTCCCCTCCACATTTCCATTTCACCCTGCTAGGTCCCCATTTCCTCTGACTCTGGGTCCCAAATTCCATGATAACCCATCTATTTTCTGCTTTCCTCATCACCCCTACACTCCATCCTGCTCCCCCTAAAGTCTACTCCACGCCTGGCCTCCAGGTGCCCGCTTCCCCACTGACCTTTCCAGGTCACTGCTCCCTCCCCTACCACCTGATCCATCTCTTGTTCCATCACTTCCTGCTTCCCCCACCAGTGCAACCCCATTTCTCTGGACCCTTATGCTTCTCCACTCTACATCCTTCCTATTAGGCTCTCGGTTTTCATAGTTCCATTAGCATCCAGGTTACACTCTGTCTATGCAGCAAGTAGAGCTGCTGCCTCTGACACATGTAAAGATGTGGAGAGCATGAAGGATGCTTGGGATGTGGTATTCCAAAGTTACATTACAGACATATGCAACTGAGTTGAGTGTACAGCTTCATATCTGTTGGCCAATTAATAGACATTCACTGTTGTTGCAACATCCTCATGGTATAAATTAAATAAACTTTTAAGAGCTGATGTACAATTAGTTCCCCTACCATGCCAGGCATATGCTAACTGCTAAAAGAAGTGCAGATTTCAGAGGTATATGTAGCATCAGTATTACAGCTTTTTACGAGAACTGTTCACATGCAAGTCACAATTCTTAAGATTCTTTAAGCTCAGTTACTACAAGCCCTTTGTCTGCAAAAACTTGACTCAGCACCTAGTTTTTGTTATACTTCAAAGTCTGGACAGAGACAGGGAAGAAAACATAGCCCAAACATGGTATCTCAGCTTCTATATTGCCAATAGTCAAAATACACCTGAACTACACTCCTCTGCCCCTTCTTATCCCTTCCCTAACTTGTGAAGGCAAAGAAATATTCCCTGTTCCAAGATTCATTCAAAGCATATGACCTAGTCCTGTAAACCTTCTCTGTATTGCACTCACTGCTCTTAATGGGTGTTTCATGTGCACAACAGGCTTGCAGGATCAGGTCCAGAGACTTCTGAGAGCTTCAGTAGGATTCAAGTAGTGCAAACGACTTTGTTCTTGCCCATTGCACAGGGGTGAATTCTGCCTACTACAACTGAACCCTTGAGTCACAATGTTCTGTTTGTTCCCTGTTTGGAGAGCTGCCAGGGTGGCTGTGCAAACATTTCTGGTGTGAATGTATTTAAATACTCCTGGGGAATTCTGCACCATTGAGCATACTCAGTAATGTCCTGCTGCAGAAAAGAAGCTGCACCAGTGCTCACTTACAAACCCACTGCAGTGCAGTTGCCTCTGTTAAGGCACCTGGAGCAGCCCAGGGAAAGATCAGTCACGGTGAGGGTGGGAGTGTCTCGGGATGCTCTCAATGCCCAGGGACGTCAGTTCTGACTAGGTGGGCGGGGAGAGAGACCACACAGATTAAGTTCCACCTCCCTTTCATGGAGGAGCCAGGACAGAGCCAGATCAATTCCCAAAAACCTCCCTTAACTATAGGATGCTCTGTTACATGTGAGGAACGGAGGGGAGGGAGTTTGAGGGGGTCTGGGTGCAGGGGGTAAGGCAGGGGGGGGGGGGGGTGGATGGGGGGGGCTGAGGCGGAGGCTGAGTGGGGGACAGAGGGGCTAGGGGTCCAGATGCAGTGGGGTTTAGTGGACCTGGGAGAGAGGTCATATGGGAAGCTGCTCCCTCTCTCAGGGTATGCCTACATTACCCTCCTAGTTCGAACTAGGAGGGTAATGTAGGCATTCCGCACTTGCAAATGAAGCCCGGGATTTGAATTTCCCGGGCTTCATTTGCATAAACTGGGCGCCGCCATTTTTAAATCCCTGCTCGTTCGAACGCCGTGCCGCGTGTAGCCGCGCGGCACGGGGTTCGAACGAGCAGGGATTTTAAAATGGCGGCGCCCAGTTTACGCAAATGAAGCCCAGGAAATTCAAATCCCGGGCTTCATTTGCAAGTGCGGTATGCCTACATTACCCTCCTAGTTCGAACTAGGAGGGTAGTGTAGACATACCCTCACCTACTTCCTGGCCCCATTGGTCCTCAGCCTGACCCCTGCATCAGGAATCCTCTGCACTCAGACCCTCTCCCCAAGACCTCAACTCACCCACAACCCAGCCTCCCCTGAATCAGAAACCCAACTTCCAGACACCCACCCCACTGAGCTCCAAAAAGCCGTACCCTGCACTCCATTCTCCCAGCACCCAGATCCCCACCCCCACTGCACCCTAACCGCCTTCACCTAGACTCCCCTGTAGTGTCCCATACCCCCTGCAACAAGGATGCCAAAATAAGCCTCTGTGCATCCAGATCCCCTGGTACACAAACTCCCTTCTCCCCCCCAGAGCTGCCCACACCCAGATTGCACCACATAGAAGCCTGGTACTCTTGGGGGAATTCTGCCCCAAAAATCAAAAATTCCACAGATTGTGTGTCAGAGTAACACAGTAAAAACAACAACATAACTGGAAATGGTGTCATTTTGGTAATTTATTGTGAAATAGTGGTCAGCAAATAATTGAAAAGGGTGTGATCATATTGTGTTATTTTTCACAAATAAAATATTCAGAATTTCATAGAATTTTATAATAGTGGGCAGAATTTGTAATTTTGGGGTGCACAATTCCTTCAGGAGTAATAGGATTTGTAAAACTTTGAGAACCAGTGTTTTTAAAAAGGAATAAGACTGTTAAGTAAAGCCAATCGGTATTTATTCAGGCCAATATTTCTATGCAAGAAAGTGCCTTCCTTAGAAAGAAAAAAAGTCTCTCAGGCAACCTGGTGGGAACCTGCATGACTTAAACAAAGCCAAAACACATGTGCACATCACCACATATATGCACACAGGCAATACAGCAGCTGGAGCCAATCACCATTCAAGGTTTCCAACTGGCCAGGTCTGGGACAGGATTGGAAAGCAAGCTACTTAAAAACGCTTACAAGTCCCAAAATACAACCACAGGTCAGTCAAAAGCCAACTCTGCTTAAAACAAGCCAAATTTAGTTGATACCAATAACTCAAACTGAAATAAAGACTCAGAGGGGTAGCTGTATTAGTCTGTAACTTTAAAAACAATGAGCAGTCCTCTAAGGCACCTTAAGGTACATCTACAAAGCAACATTATTTCAAAATAACTTAGTCTGCATCTACACAGCAGGCAGTTGTTTTGAAATAATGTCAAAATACCATCAAGCTGAAGGACTTCTTACTCGGACTCCTGTAACCTTCATTGTACGAGGAGTAAGGGAAGTCAGAGGAAGAGTGCTCTATTTCGAAATAAATGCTGTGTAGACGCTCCCTATTTCGAAATTAGCTATGCAATTGACATTGCTCAACTTGCATAGCTTATTTCAAGTTAAGCCCTGCTGTGTAGATGCATCCTTAAGAGACTAACAAATATAAGCCCTGCTGTGTAGATGCACCCTTAAGAGTCTAACAAATATATTACATCTGAGGAAGTGGGTTTTGCCCACAAAAGCTTATGATAAAAATATATGTTAGTCTCTAAGGTGCCACAAGACTACTTGTTGTACTCAAACTGAAACATAACATCTACACAAGATGATGTGCAGATTTTAACTACCTCTGTTTCTAAAATCTAAACTAATGAAATCAGTACAATTTTCTCATGTAGGTGTAGCCTAAGACCACGTCTAGACCATTCTAGAGAAGTCTTAGCCTGTGTGAGAATCATGGAGATGCTTTATATAGTTTCTTGATACTGTTTCTTTTCCCTCTTGAAGAAACAGTGCATTGTTTAAATGCAACTATAATTTCAGCTCAACTGTTAATACTGAGGGGGAATGAGTGTCACCTCTCCGTTCACAGAGAGAAGACTACAGTCAGAGTAAAATAAAGCATATGTGTGTACTACTGACATGCCAAGGTTGCAAAAAGAAAGCTTGGATTTTACTCATTGGTATCAGCAGGGAGTAACCTTAGAGGTGCCAGAGAAAGGTGACCCACCTTCCACAGCCAGGGACAGAAACATAATCAATAATGTAATCTTACCAGCTTCTACCGGCTTGGTCTTCTGATAAGTTGATGACAATTTCTCAATATCTTCAAAAGCTGATGCATTCTACCAGTAACAAGAAAGTATCAATTACTTCACAAAGTACAATTTCTCAATATCTTCAAAAGTTGATGCATTCTACCAGTAACAAAAAAGTATCAATTACTTCACAAAGTTGTTCTCTGATTACATGCTCATTCAGTAAACACAGCAGCACACATCTGCATGATCTTCTCCTGCAACATTCCTACCTCTTTTTTGTTTTTTAAAGCCCACTTCATTTTGGGGTCTAAAACATGCTAAAGGGAATGAATTCTTTCAATACACCAGACTATTTAGGGTTAACTTTCATTCAGAGACAGACATCACACTTGATTCCCACTAACACTAATTTTATTACTGGTTAATCTCTTTTATATATTGATGAGCCATAAGAATAGGAAACAGGGAAATTTGCTGAATGCTTGTCTCTCTGAATACAAAACAACCTCTCAGTTTGTATAACACAAGGGTTTCTACCAAGATAAAGCATACAGCTTGAAACATAAAAAAACCCCTGAAAGCAAACCCTAAGCAGAGAGGTAATATTTTATGTAGGAATAAAAATAATAAAAAAAAAAAGTTCCCTCGTGGATAAGACAACATACTGTAACCTAAAAGAGTTTGAAGCTTTGATATTTCTGTAAGTTAACAAATAGGTTTATTTAGTAGGGGAAAGCTCATCTGTATAAAGACCTTCATCCTTTAAACCTATGAAATAAAAGTATTTTTGGAAGTTTACATCACTGTGTGTCTTGGATAAAAGATTAAAGTTTGAATAATAGGTTTTGAGGAAATTCTATCAGGAATGTGTTTGACAGAGCTACTTGTAATTTGTGGAGTGGGTAAGTAACTATTCGAAGAGTTTGGTGTACCACTTACTGTAGCAGGATGATGAAACATAGCAACATCCCCTTAAATTATAGAGAAATGAGGCAAATGGAAAGGCAACTATTTTTAATTGGTTGAGAGGATGTTTGCAAGGTGTAAAATGAGGTGCCATCTGGTGGTTAGAAGTAGGGATGTAAAAATGTGTTTAAAAATGTAACTGTGTAACTGCTCAAAATCACAACAGTCACATGGTTTACACACCATGTGGGCTCTGCAGCATAAAGTTTAAATATGCTTTATACTGCAGAGCCTGCAGTGAAGCCACCTCCCTCGAAGTGGGGCCGGCAAGGACTTCTGCCAGCCCTGCTCCCAGGGAGGAGGCTTTGCTGCAGGCTCTGCAGCTGGCTAACTAGTAGTGGGGGTGGTAGCTCCTGCTGGCCCCACTCTTGGGGAGCCAGCATGTAACAGGGGAGGGAAGGAAAGGGGTGTCCGACCCACCACGGACAGGGGCTGCTCCAGTGGGCCCCATGAGAAGCCCACTACAGCCCCTACCTGTCAAGGGTGAGGCTAACTGATTAACCTTTTACATCCCTAGTTAGAAGAGAAGACTGGCCAGCTAGGCTATGTCTACACTGCAACACTGTTTTGGAGCATACTGGAGTGCCGTGAAATAGCTGTCCCGCATCTTAACAGCCCATTTTTTCGGGCTTGCTATTCCAACGTCCCTGTAAACGTCATTCCACGAGGAGTAAGGGACGTTTCGGAATAGCGGGTTATTTCGAAATTTAGTGCTGTGTTGACAGCGCCAAATTACGAAATAAGCTATTTCGAAATAAGACCGAAATAAGATACACAATTTGCATAGCTCAAACTGAGTAGCTTATTTTGAGCTACGGGTGCAGTGACACTCTTACACTGTGTTTAGACTACATCTCTCTTTCAACAGAGGGATGTAAATAAGGCACTTCGAAAGTGCAAATAAAGTGGGGTTTTAAATATCCTGTGTTTCATTTGCATAATCGCGTCATGGCACTCTTTCGAAAAAGCGCCATTTTGAAAGTAAAACCGCGGTCTATACGCAGTTCTGTTGAAACTTGAGTGATAGACAGACTTTTTCAAAAGACCCTGTAAACCACAGCGTTAGAGATCAAGGTTATATTTCTTAACTCTATTCCTCTTTCACTATCACTCAAGTTCTTGGTTTTAATTTTTCCTCCTCTATATAATGGGAATGATAATCACCTTTGTAAAATGCTTTAGAGCCTCAGATGAAAGGCATTGTATACTATACGAAATTAAATTGTAAAATGCTTTAGAGCCTCAGATGAAAGGCACTGTATACTATACGAAATTAAAGAGGAGAACTCCCTAAGCAGAATACAAATATAGAGAACAGATCAGAACACTACAGATCCTGCCTCTCCAATAATGATGTGATTTTAAACCAATAGCCAGACAACTGAATTAATGATAATTTCAAACAACTTACCTTATCCATTCGATCCTTTTGTATACCATACTTTCCACCAAATCCTTTTGAATAATCTAAAAATAGGATAAAGGGGTCAAAGTAGGCAGGTTTAGTCTTCTTCCTTTTTTAGGCCCATTAAATGCAAATGGCCATTTCAAAAGCAGCTACATGCAGTTCCAAAGATAGCAGCCAAAGAAAATGAAACTTTTTTATGCAAATCAGGATATGTATATCTATAGAAGCTTCTTCGTATACCAGCAGGCAAGAAAAATGCTGTGAGCTATGTGCATGCTTTTCACATTCTTTCAGTGAAAGTTAAGCTAACGATTGCCATGTTGAAAGGAACCAAGCAAAGAATAAGGGATGGCCCATCATAATGCACCACTTCTAGAGCACAGCCTTTCACAGTACCAATTGTTACTTCCTGGAGTATAGGTCATATTACCAAAGTTATTTTCCTTTGTTCAGAGTAGTGTGCTGTCAAGTGTGCAGTAACCCTCGTCAGGGCAGAAGTCTCACTTAAGTACTCTTTATTTGCATAGCATTCATGGAATTTAATCAAGACAAGATACATAGCTGCCAATTCACATTTTCTGCAATTTTGGTATTGACCCCAGGTTGATGCAAAGTTAAGAAAGATGTTACATGTATCCACAGTGGGAATATAGGTCATATTACTACCTTATTTAATAATAAATAGTTACCATGTAAATGGCGAGTGCTTGAACTGACTTACAATGTCATCCTTTGCTCCCATTCCCAAAATACAGGATTCACTAATCAGAGACTTTGTGTGTGTATTTGAACTTCTACTAAAGCTATGCTAGGCTTTAAATCAGGGATAGCGAACCTCAGGCCTGGGAAGGAGGGAGTCGGATACGGCCCCCAGCTTGCCTGAATCCAGCCCCCGAGGCTCAGCATTGAGGAGCCCGTGCTGGCACTCCAACTGCCCATCCACCCACCTGCAGGGTGGGAGCACACAAACTCTACTAGCCTGGGCCTCCCTAGGCTCTGGTGTACAAGGGGAATGTGGGGTGCCTTTCACCTTCTCAGTCAGGAGCTTCTCACTTTGTTTCTCACTTGTGTGGGGCCCGGACAGATTTTTCTGAGTCAGCAGCCCCCAACCCAAAAAAGGTTCCCCTGCTTTAAATCATGATAATATGTAAAACATTGATGGCTATTAGACATATTTAGCCAGAATAAATGCATGGCTTTATTAACCACCTTCAGACATTGCAATTATACTATTCTGATGTACAAAGGTTTCAGAGGGGTAGCCGTGTCAGTCTAACTGAAAATTCTTAAAAAAAACCAACTAATAGTCTTGCAGCACCTTAGAGACTAACAAAACATGTAGATGGTATCATGAGCTTTTGTGGGCACGACCCACTTCTTCAGATAATAGAGTTAAGGGATCCAGGGTACAAACAATTTCTTAACTCCATTATCTGAAGAAGTGGGTCATGCCCACGAAATCTACATGTTTTGTTAGTCTCTTAGGTGCTGCAGGACTATTCTGATGTAGGATTTCCAAAAGATGCTATGCTATAGGACTTCTCACTGTAGGATATTGGCAGAAATCTATGACTTGTAGTTCATATCTGAATTATCTCACAATGAATAAAGACAGTTTTATAAGTATGCTATTTTTTACTTCACCCAAGGAAAAATTGTAACATTTGGACTTAAGATGGTGTGAGCTAATGCTTATGTAGAGACACAAACTAAATATTGGATCTCTGTTTCTATTTTATTATCGGCACCATTTGGAATTTTATGAACCCATATCCTTAATATAGGCTTATAATGAGATCATGACCATTAACAATTCATTTTAAGGAAATAGCCTGATGGTGCTAGATAACATGGGGATAGAAATTTAAGAAAATTTCTTCCTTAGATTACTTATGGTACAAGTCAGTCTTTCTACATAACTAAGTCTGTGTTAGAAGTGGCTGCATGGCTAATAAGAAAGTTACAACTGGAGACTGTGCCTTGTTGAGACTCATGCTTGGCTAGTTTCTCCTTGTATTCAAACCCCACGGCAGATGGGTCCTGTCTCTCTTTTTGAACACCAAATTTCCCTCCAAAACCACTCTTATAATCTGAAAAAAGTCACATGTAATAAGGAAGGAGAAAAGGAACAGATACGTTTAGTTAAAAACATTCAAAATCATAGCCAGCAGCAATTCTGATGAATCAGCAGTATTTTAGACGACTCTGGATACTCATTTTAATTGTCTATTCACACGACTCTGAATACTCATTTTAATTGTATACAGGCGGTCCCCGGGTTACATGGATCCGACTTACATCAGATCCCTACTTACAAACAGGGTGAGGCAACCCCGCACTAGCTGCTTCCCCCCAGCAGACCAGGGAGATGCGAAGCTAGCGCCCCCCCCAGCAGACCAGGGAGACGCGGAGCGGCTTTTCTCAGCAGACACCTCCGCTTGAGAATAAAGGACTGAGGGAAGTGAGGTGTGGGAGAATAAAACTGAGCTCTGGAGAAATGTTTGGCTAGAGTTTCCCCTACAATAAGTACCAGTTCCGACTTACATACAAATTCAACTTAAGAACAAACCTACAGTCCCTATCTTGTACGTAACCCGGGGACTGCCTGTATTCACATGAATAATTACAGTTGGGATTAGGAAAAAGCCAGCTTCACTTAGTATTAACAGGAATATAACAGAAACAATTTCATGTTCTTTGCTATATTTTGCAGCTCTTCTCGTACTGCAGACAATATTTCTCTGCACAACTGTTCATACTGTATACATGCACTTGTATTTTAAATTACGTTCATGATCAGATTATGTCTTTATTCATATGTACTCAAAAGAAAAATAATGTGTGCAGAGGACAACACATGGAGCAAGTTAAATATATTTGGACAGTATAGCCCTGCGTTTGTAAGAAATACTAATCAGGAGAAAAAAAATCCTAAAGTTTCTCCTATCTGGCATTGTCAAAAGTAAGGAATATCCTTGTTATTGGTCTGCAGAAAAAAAAAATCTGTGTTTAGAACCATATTCCAGTCGTTGACAGGCTGTTCTGGCACAGCCATTTTGACAACAAAGTGCTAAAATAAGGGTATAGATCATTCCTTCTCATAGGAACACACACAGGAAGCTACAAAGGGAAAAAAAACCCTGAGATCTCCTTTCTGCATGCGTGCAGCAAGGTCTGGCCTACTATGGAACAGGGTATAACTGTAGATGTCTCCATCTTCATGGAGACCATTAAAAATTGGGTGAGAAGGAAGAGGTCAGTATCGCTGATGCGGAGTTTCTACTTCCAGCAAATGTGGGTATGCATAAAAGAGAGGGGGAGACAGATCAAGGAAGAGGAAAACAGCTTGGCTGTGTCTACACTGGGCCACTTATTCCAGAAAATCAGCCGCTTTTCCGGAATAAGCTGCGAGCTGTCTACACTGGCCCTTGAATTTCTGGAAAAGCAACGACGTTCTACTGTACAAAATCAGCCGCTATTCCGGAAAAGCTACGCTGCTCCCGCTCGGGCATAAGTCCTTATTCCGGAACACTGTTCCAGAAAAGGGCCAGTGTAGACAGCCCAGTAGTCTTTTCCGGAAAAAAGCCCCGATCGCGAAAATGATGATCGGGGCTCTTTTCCGGAAAAGCGCATCTACATTGGCCACAGATGCTTTTCCGGAAAAGCAGCCTGCCAATGTAGACGCTCTTTTTCCGGAAATACTTATAACGAAAACTATTCTGTTTTAAGCATTTCCGGAAATTCATGCCAGTGTAGACACAGCCCTTGAGTATAGTGAGCAGGATTTGTCTTTGTGCATGAACTGGCAGTTTACGTAATATAGGAGTCATTTATGACAGCCTGGCTTCCAGAGTTTCACTGAAAATAAAGAATCCAGGCTATCTGCAGATTCACAAGGCTATTGTAACATACCTCTTGACACACCAAGTCAATATTTTCAGTGACTTTCAATACCACCCATGGCTTATTAAACCAGTTGTGAAGACATTCCAATCAATATAATTGCAACACATTAACACTTCAAACATTCAGGTACCCATGTTAGTGTTTCAGCAAAAACAACAAGGAACTTTAAAAGACTAACACATTTATTAGGGTATTAGGACATAAGCTTTTGAGTGCTTCAATTCATTTCTACCAGGTTAGCTGTTATGAAACAGTTTTACCCCAGTTGCAGAGGCAAAAAACCCTCTGTAATGTGAACCAGAAGCATGTTAAAAGTGTTAAGAAGCTGATCCCAAACATATTGGGGATGTTAAATATCAGTTAATTGAGTAGTCAATTAACCTCATGAATTCTTATCGGTAACTCAACTATTTTATAGTCTCCAGGGTGATGCCGGCAGCCAGTGTGCTCCGGCCCCACTCCTGAGGAGCCCTGTGGTACTCCGCACTGCTGCCTCTGCATCACAGGCAGCAGCACAGGGTGCCAAGCGGGAACTGGTCCACAAGGGGAGCCAGTTTAAAAACCAGCTCCCCTCATGGACTGGCTGCCTGTTACCCCACTCTGCTGCCTCTGATACAGAGGCAGCAGTGTGGGGTAGCAGCAGCCCCTGTCCAGAGGGTCTGAGCTCCCAGACCCAGTGCAAGCTGAAACTGAGCCTGCCCACCTGGCTCCTATTACACTTTAAATGCAGAGCCGCAGCAGAGGGTAAGTCCCGGACCCGGCGTGAGCCAGGACCAAGACGGACTGCAGGCCAGCCTGCTAAAAAATTTACTGGCGGGGGAGCGGAATGCATGTAGCCTATAGTATTGCCCTATACACTTTTGCTTATCAGTTAATTGACTACACTATTACATCCCTAAAACATACCTTTTTGGGATTCGTGTAGTTGAACTTTCTCCTGATGATCCCAACCAAGCGCACACTTGTCCTGTCTGTCTGTCTGTACACCAAATTTGCCTCCAAATCCTTTCACATAATCTATGCACATAAAATTCCACAAGCCATTAGTGGGATTGTTACAAAAACATTTAGAACACTACAGTGATATACTTGTTACCTAATATTTCATTAATGATACTGAATTATTTTCACGGTCCATTTCTCCCTGCCAAGTCCCATTCCCTACTGGGAAATGGGAAGCACAGCTATCCGAAAAACTAGTAAGTCAGCGAGTGCAAAATAGCTCATCCCTACTATATGCTGCATTAAGCTATAGTAAACGTATCAATATTCATAAAATAGCTACCTGGTAGATAAGAGAAGAACAATTCTGATGCCTGCATCACACCTCCATTTTGCCACCGAAAACATATTACGAGATGGTTAAGTCTCATTGGCAAAAATGTTAAAATATCATATTTTAACTGCATACTTCCCTTATGTATGAATACCGGACCAAAGTGTTCGTCTCAACCCATGCATACTTTTATTTAATAAAAGTTTAATAAAAACCTTTCTGTGATTCGTGTTTTTCTGTTTTGCCTTGATATTCAAAGCCAACTGCACTTTTGTCCACTTTGTCCTTGTCAACTCCATATTTACCACCAAAGCCTTTAGAATAATCTGGAGACAAGAGTAAACAGTTTTAATTTACAAATGTACAGTAATAAGACACTTGTTTTAAATTATGTAGAAGAAGAATACTGACATCTAAGCTTGATCTAGGATATTAAATCTTACATTCTGAAGAATGTATCACCTAATATTTTTTTCCTTAAGCAGGAGGGAAAAAAAAAGCAGGGTCAAAGCTAGACAAACCACTGTGAGTAATTTTCATCTTTCAAAGTGCTCAGTTATAGCTCGGCATTGACACAGTAAAATCACACTGGAATTCTAAGGCTACATGAAGAGCAGTTTGGTTGTCTTTTTTTTCCTTTAAACTTTGCTAAAAAAAGCTTTGTTACTTCAGGTAAATAATGTAATGCAAATTGGTCAGAAAGTGGGAACTTTGTTACTTCAGGTAAATAATGTAATGCAAATACATTATTAACATTGGTCAGAAAGTGGGACGATTTTGAGAAAAAATATTCTCTTTCCTGTAACAATTTTAAACTTTTTTTTAAATCCAATTTTTTTGAACAGCTATAGCAACACTATATTAACTCTAGAAATCCATAAGCATAGCCTAAATTTTAACAGGTGACTTTATTAGAAAAGTCACCCGATAATTAAAATATAAATACTTCACTGCTGTATTTGAGCATTTTTAGGTTTTAATATTGATTGGTGAAAAAAAAATTCAAAGTTGCTAGAAGTGTGGGATTGGGCAGGAGATGGGGAGTTTGGTGAGGGAAACAGTTTGTTGACCAGCTCTGGTTGCAATGCAATTGAAATGTGATATCCTCTTGGAATTCTTGTGCTAGCTAAACTTAAGTGTATGATTTAAACCTCTCTCCTTCAAGAAGATAAAATTTTCAGTAATCTTCATGACTTATCTAGTGAATGTAAAGACACAAAATATATATCAATATTTACCAAAATGAATTATTTCATAAGACTGTTCCTGGTAAATGCACCAGCATCACATCAAAAATAGAAACAAAAAATACATGTGTTGACTAACCTTTCTGAGATTCATGTTTCTCTGTTTTACCCTGGTAATCGAAGCCCACTGCACTCTTGTCTACTCTGTCCGCCTGCACTCCATACTTACCACCAAAACCACTTGAATAATCTGAGTACAGAAATCAAAGCACAATCAAACAAATAAACTCATCACATGTCACAGTGTTGCAATGCAGAATATCATCTTAGTTGGGAAATAGCTACTAACCCACGAAACAAAACTTACTAACACAGCAGGCAAAATTCAGCATAGTATTCTGGCTCATGATGTCACAAGTATGTGTGAATGCTCCCTATTTCTAAATCTGGATGCTGCTAAAACTTCTGCCCAAGGTAATTTTGTGTATAAATTATGCTAGCAGAACCATTCAGCCAGGATATATGGTCCTCATGCATTTAAATTTATCAACAAAATGCTCAATTATTAGATAGTGTTTAGAAAAATTAAACTCAGTACATGCTTAGAATTCTGTTTTACAATTTTTAAGAAATTCAGCTAAGTTCCATATGAGTCCAACAAATCCACCTCTGAGGAGTGGTTTAGTCTGCTCTTTCATTTATAGTTTCCCAACATACAGGAACTATTTATCTTATTAATATTAAAACATGTCAAGATCTCTCCAGCCTTACCGGAAAAGAAATACAAGGCTATTACTCTTATTTTAACTTCTAGCATTAGTATGAAGTTCTCGCTCACTTTTGGGGGTGAAGGAACAAAGGACAAGTCAGACCCTTGGAAAAAACCACCGGTTATTTGATTTAGTTAAGGCCAATTGAATAGAGTGGTTTTTCAATCCACTTACTACAAGAGAGTAGTAAATCATTTGGAACCCAGCTAATTGGATAGCTGGAAATACAGATTGATGCCCCATTGTGCTAGGAACCTTACAAACAGTGTTTTCTCAACAGCTTCATATACAAGCTATTGCAGTACAGGTTGGACCTCTGAAATCCGATGTTGCTGGATCGGAGAGCCCCAGCGCTTAAGAGTCCAAACTGGCTAGGAGCCCCATCCCCGGGGAGCCCCAGCCTGGCAGGGCAGCAGTGGGATCAGCGAGCCCCGTCTTGGGGAGCCTGGCAGAGCAGAGGTGCAGTGGGGCAGCCAGCAGCAAAAGCGGGGCAGCCGGCAAGCCCCGCCCTGTCATGGGGGCCAGCATGCCAGAGCCCAAGTCCGAGCACTACAGGCTGGAGGCCAATGGCAGTGGGGCCAGAGAGGAGGCAGTCATAGGGAGGGGGAACATCCTGGGAGGCCAGTGGCAGGGGGCCTCCTCGATCCAGGAAATTCCCTTGTTCGGGACGGGTCTGGTCCCGAGGGTGCCGGACAAGGGAGGTCCAACCTGTAGGGTCTTACAACATGTAGCTAATATTAGTAGAAATTATCTGTTTACATACACACATTCACTTCAGCACTACCTTTTTGAGAGGCATGTTTCTCTGTTTTCCCTTGGTATTCAAAACCCACAGCAGACTGTAGGAGAAATAATACAGTAATAAGTATTCCTAAGATAAATTAGACAATAGTAGCAAAATAAACTGCTTCAGCAGAAAAATACTCCTAACAAAATAAATTATAGCTGAGCGATGCTCGCACTCTCTCTTGGTTCTGGACCACAAGTGTTTGTCTAGATCTCTGGGCCAACATTTTCAAAACATTTGGAGGAACAGATTCATTGTTATATTTTTAATTTTATTTATGGAGATTGCCTATCTCCTAGAACTAGAAGGGACCTTGAGAGGTCATTGAGTCCAGTCCCCTTGCCTTCACAGCAGGACCAAGTACCATCCCTGACAAATTTTTGCCCCAAATCCCTAACTGGCCTCTGCAAGGATTGAACTCACAACCCTGGGTTTTAGCAGGCCAATGCTCAAACCACTGAGCTATGCCTCCCCACTTTTTCAGTCACTGCCAAGGCAGATAGTTTCCTGCAATAAATTAGGGTTTTGTCAGGTTTACTGATACAGTACACTGGAGCTTCCACCACTTCCAGCAGGAAGTTACTGCACAGTCTTAGAAAGTTTCCCCAACCTGATATTCATTACTAGCAGTTCAGTTTGGTAGACATCTTGAGCCATGCTAAATTCCTTCCCTCCCTGATGTTCATATTTATGTTCACATAAACATATGTAACTTGGTTAACTGACAAATTTTTAATCTTTTCTTTCAAATCAGGCCTCCTTCCACTTAACTGTGGGTGGAGGGGAGGGGGATTTTTTTTCTTAAAGTATTAATGTCTATACCAGTGTTCTAATTTTTTATGTCCAGGGCAGAATGAATTTTGTTATGTGCACCAATATGGAGAGGATGTATGACACATTACTTCCACATTGTGCACACTACAAAATTCATTTGACACTTGGATGATCTGTGGTGGTGGTGGGGGACTGAGGGGTTCAAAGTGTGGGAGGGGGCTCTGGTTGGGGTATGGGCTCTGGGGTAGGGCTGGGGATGAGGCATTTGGAATACAGGAGGGAGCTCCAGCCTGGAAGCTAAGGGGTTTGGAGTGCAGGAGCGAGCTCAGAGCAGGAGGCTGAGGTGGAGGGGTCTGGGTGGAAATGAGGGTACAAGAGGGGGCTTAGGGTTGGGGTGTGGGATATAGGAAGGAAGTAGGGTGGTGGAGCAGGCTCTGTGCTGGAGCTATGGGTTGCGGTAGTGGGGTCTCTGAGGGAGTTATGGACTTGGAGTGCAAGAGAGGTTTCAGGGTTGGGGTTAAGGAGTGAGGTGCATATCTGGGGCGACTTCCATTTGGTGATGGTGGTGAACAGGTAGTTTCATGTGCTCCTGTGCTCACCTGAAGGCACTGCCCTCTGCAGCTACCATTGGCTGCGATTCCTGGGCTGCCATGGCTGGGCGACGGGCATGCTTTACCCACCCAGCTCTGGCCCATCTCAGCCATAGCAGTTAGTATGCAGCAGCCCTGAGCCGCTGTGCAGGAATTTTTAGACAGCTGAGGGGCCACTGAGGGAACGCTATTCCATACTAACCAAAGTCAGTTTACTGATATGCAGACTGCAATGCTAAAAATGAATGACAGTAATATTTACACTTTCCAGCTGGATAAAACCGATATGCTATGTAAACAGACAGGCGCAGCTGCTGTAGGTAACTACAGTATTATCAGAAATTACGTACCTGGTCAACTCTATCCACTTGCACTCCAAACTTGCCTCCAAAACCTCTTACTGAGTCCACTTGGGAGCAATGTTTAGAAAGCTTAGATTGATATTCGTGGCCAACAGCTGACTGAAATAAAGTTAGAAATCCAAAAACAGATTATTGAATCTAACATTCATAGTAACATACTACACTTAGTAAATCTAAAACCAAAAGTTTAGAAATTAGAGGCCTCTTTATAATTATTGTCAGCACTGGTAGCAGTTGCACAGTGAAAGCCATGCATGTTAAAGGATCCAATTCTGCAAAATACCCACAAAGATTCCTCACAGGAATAAGAATCTATATTATGTCATCAAGTTGTCAGTATAGTCCTCGGAAAGAAAATTATCAAATCCCAGGAAAGATTTTGGTAGCATTGACTGTACAGTACATGTGAGTATGTTTTTCACCCGGGATTTATTAACTGAACCACAGAAGTTGAAAAAGGAAAAATAGTGTACCAAATCTTTCTGCCACGATCAAAGGATTTTATTTTATTCCAATAAAATAAAATAAAATAAAATAAAATAAAATAAAATACAGCTTTCCCAGGGATGGGCCAGGCTCTGGTATTAGGAAGGCAGGATAAGAAGCGATAATTGTGTATGCAGCTATGGCCACACACAGTAGAAAAATTAATCACTACCAACTTAAACACAAGATACTTCTTGAACAAAAGAAACTTTGTAGAATTCTGCACGTTTAAAGCAAAATACTAACATCAAAGATTGCCTGGACTGAATGCAGTATTCACATCCACCAAACATGAAATTTATTATTGGATAAGAAGAAAATTATTCCAACACAGGCTATGTTGTGATATTTTTTAATAATCATTAATTTAGGAAAACAGGAATGGCAGTTCTCTAAGATAACACCATCCATCGATCCAAAATGTATTCTGATATAAAAATGTACTCTCATACATTATGTTAATTTTAATCAAACATCATTAGCTGCCTCAGCTCACTAAATTTACTATTTGAGCCTTATGCAACTTGAACAATAAAATGCATTCCTAGGAACAGTTGAGCCTTATGCAACTTGAACAATAAAATGCGTTCCTAGGAACAGTATTCTTATTCTTATTACTTCATTACAGTTTACCAAAGAGAAAGGAAAGGAATCAGACTCTATTTACAAACAACACCCAATAGTCTCACATTTCTGTCTTTGAAAGTAGACAATTTCAGATAAAGACTAACAGTGATCATTTTAGTAAAATCAAAATAATTTCCATTGCAGTATAAAAGGAGGCTGTGCTCCTAATTTCTGAAAGATATTTGACTACTTTAATAAAACTAAAGTAATTGGAGTTGGTTCTTGTGATCTTTGGCACATTTCTGTTTTGTGGTATCAAAAGCTTGAGTTATAGCTATGAATGACTTCTGGCTAGGTCTATCATATACATTAACATTTTAGTTAAATATGCTACAGGACGTTGCTAGACATTCTCTCTTTCCCAAAGTCTGTACCAGAATTAAGAGATTACTCTTAACACTTCCCCACCATTTGCTTTTCAAGTTATCCCTGTTATACAGTACAAAATGGCAAGTGATAGTACAAAGCACATTACATCCCTTATCAGTCAACAACTTTTTCCAAAGCCTGGTTTTATGACCATTTCCCAGCTTAATGTGTTTTTTCTTTCTCCCTTCCGTTCTAATCAGCCACTGGAATGTGAGCCAGGCATAACATCCTATAGTACAATTATGTTGTGTCAAATTAAAAAGGAGCCAGGAGCAATCTTCAAAGACGACAAGAGGGAATGATATTACACACTAGGAAGTGCAGCCTACTCTATCTACCTATGAGGCTTCAGATTCTCACTAATATAGTACAGTAATTCCTCATTTAACATGGCCCGCTTAACACGTTTTCACACTAGCACTTTTTTTTAGGGAACGTTTTTTGAATTGCACAACTATCCCCGGAATAACACGATTTCCCCAGCTGTCCCATTGCCGGGGGCTGCATGGGGCTTCCCCCGCCTCCCTGCAAAGTGGCGGAGGGTTTGCCGCTCGCTGCGCTGTTCCCTGGCAACCCCCCCCCCGCCGGATACAGTGCGGGTCCCGGCAGACCTGTCACAGGGGCATACTCCCAACCTAATCCCCCTCCCTTGTCCTCCCCTTCCCTTCCCTAGAGCCAAACACCTCCCCTCCCTGCTGTAACCCAGTCCTCCTTTTCCCTCAACCGTATGTCCCGGTCCCACAGACACCACCGCTTGAAACGCAACCCCCACCTTTTCCATTATTTTCAATGGGAAAATTGACCCACGTTTTCACTTAACACGATCATTTTCTGAAATATATCTATAGTGTTAAATGAGGAATTACTGTACTAGTATAACCCCCTCCCCCAAACCCTGCACTCTGTGCCCAAACTCAGTAATTTTGGTCATATGCTGGGGAATGTGACAAGTAGGAAGAGGATTTCAAGTGCCCCTATGCTGAGTGACAGGGCTCTGCAATTAGCTGCCCCAGCCCTCCCACAACTCTTCTCCATGTATGAAAGGTCTGCATGCGGCTATGCCACACATTGAGGATCTGCAAGGGCACCAACTGCTCCGTGGGCCCCTGGACAAGGTGCATGAGGGGCAGGGCTCTGTGATCCCAGAAGGGGTGGAGCCTCAAGCAGAAGGGACAGGGACAGATGCCCTGCTCTCCCCAGCACTTTGAGCCACTTAAAGCGCACGATGGCGATTTAAAGGGGCCAGGGCTCTGGCCACTGCTGGTGCAGTAGCAGCTGGGAGCCCCAGGACCCCTTGAAACACTAGGTCCCAGAGCAGTTACCCTCTTTTCCCCACTTCCACCATGAGCAGGCCGAGAAACTATGTTCTGCGGCATAGATCTGTCCAGCTGTGGCTTGCAGTCTATTGTCCAGTGCTTTGGAATGGCAATGGTTTCGCTGCACCAGGCCACTCTGTATCCATGAATCTGTAGCTGAGTGGTGGAAGTGGAGAACTGGTTTTAATTCAGGTGAACATATCCTTATATCAGCAGAACCCTGGCAGCTACATAGTACTTGTGCTTTCGTTTTTGATAGTTTTGAGAACAATCTGCACTGAAAAGTGAGAACATTTGGCCATTAAGAATGCTTAGTTTTTTAATCTCAGCCTACTGGGATATGCAAAAAATATTAAAAATCTCAATTCCCTAATCACCATCTTTCTGCTTTAATATCTCCAGTAGACATATGGAGTATGCTGGACTCAAACTTATTTAAAATTATTGAGCATCCCTGATAAACACCAATAGGAAGATGTTAGGTGGAGCTCCCCTAAATATATCCAGACAGGAATCCTCACAAACATATACATTTCTTAACACTTACCCAAGTTGCTTCCATGAGTCAAGATGACTGATAATATAATACAGAAATGAGACATGCACAGCCCACAACAGAATCCAGTAAACTGCATTTTGCAGTTGGCCTTGTTCTGGGAAGTTTGCTGCTGATTCAGCAAGTCACTAATAGAAGTATCCCAAGCTGAAATCTTTGCAGTATGAAAAGTTCAGAGCTGGCATCAATATCAAACTGGACCCTTAAACGGACACTAGCTCACCAGAAGACTTGACTAGCTAAGCAAAAGGTGAGTTTTGAAAGTACCTCCAGCTGCAAAGAATTATATTCTCAACACATGGAGAAATGAAGCTTTGCTGAATGTACTATTCTGAAGCAATTGTCCTCTTACAAAATGTGGAAATTTGTTATGCTCAGATTAATAAGATGTTACCAAATACTACTGGTTGGACCTCCCTGATCCAGCACTCTCGGGGCCCGAGTGGTCTCAAAGAAGGGATTTTGCCTGACCAGGGGAGGTCTTTTCGGCCTCTTCCCGCCCCCCACGGCCTCCCAGCCAGGCTCTGCTTCTTGCCTGGCCCATGTGCCACCAGCCCTGCCATGGCAGCCTCAGCCTCGCCAGCCCGCTGTACTGCTGCCGGGAATCCTGTTCTCCACACTCCTCCTGGGCAGACTGCTGCTCAGCCAGGGTTCCCATCCCAGCCAGCCTACCAGGGCAGCACTGGCCCCATTGCTATGGCTCCTGGTCTCACCAGCCCTGCTGCGGCAGCTTTGCAGTCCCACCACCAGGGATCCTGGCCACACTGTGGCAGACCACTGTCTCGCCGGAGCCCACTGGCATTCCGGTCTCCCTGCTGGAGGTTCAGCCGGACTCCTGCGGTAGGGCTCCCAGCTGCAGGGCTCCTGCCTTTGGTCCTCCACCGGGTCTGTCTGGTCCAGCAACATCTGGAACGCCTGCTGGACCACAGATGTTGCTGGACTAGGGAGTCCTGGTTGAGAGAGGTTCAACCTGTCTAAGCAAACTTTGATCTATATGTAAGTTAGACACGTTTTTATAATTCTGATCAACCCAGTGTGTCTCTTCCATGTATCTTGTTGATAACATGGGGTGGCCAGTTTTCAGTTACATTAATTTTTTTAAGGGGGAGGAGGAGATTTTTTCAAAGGAATGCAGGGAATTTATTCACACATCTTTCTATAGATCCGTGAAAGATCTGTCACTAAATCTCCCTCCATTGTTTTGAATGTCTTAAACTGCATGTTTAGCTAGATGTTTCTCTACCTTCTTTATTGAATTAAACTAATTAAATCTGTACACACTCTGTTTTATTTTCATCTATGGCACCACATCAGAATGTAAAGCTTCTCTTCCTATTTCATAACCAAACTCCAAGTACTCAAATATATCTCTCTGTATCTTTAAAATATTAAAAAGACTGGCTTTAAAAAAAAAACCACAACAACAACTCACTTCCCTTTAACACATGGCAAAGCAGTACTTCGGTAGATTTTAATGAATCCTGGAGCCCTGACACATGCAATTATGTGAATGATCAGTTAGGTCAACATCACACTTATGACATTTAGACTTACGAGCAAAATCCTGGTCCACTGAAGTCCATGGTTAAATTCCCATTGAGTTAAAAGGGAGCAGAATTTCACCTACAGCGAAGAACTAGCCAGATGCTCTTGGAGAGGAAGGGACTGATATTTTAAAGGATAAAAAAATTGTTTGGTATTGCTGTATCATTTTCAAGATCTTTTTGCACCACCATGAATATTGATGAGGCAGACATCCATGATAGTTACAATTTTGCTCTTTTACAAAAAGTTAAGTGTTACAAATACAGCAGTAACTGCAACGTTTATTATTAAGCCCCTCCTCTCTGCTCCTTTCCCCAAAATCCTTGTTTACCAAATCCCCTTAAAAGCAGTCTTCACATCTTTGTATTTAATTATTTCAGTTAGAAACCTAAATGGATGAGGGGAGGCATTAGTAGCCAGCATTAGAGGGCTTGGAGCTTACACAGTAGACTTAATCATTTAACCCAATAATTCTCTCACTCTAGTTCTCCATCATTTTGTACTGGCCTATTTTAAGAGTCCATGAGAAGTATTTAGCAAATTTCTGTGAAAGAAACCTACCAAAATCTGTTGAATGCCTTGGAAACTATCTTGCTATGTACCGAGAAAAATTAGTTAAGCAAAAAACTAATATGTAGTCTTATTTAAGACTCAATATTTTAGCTCCAATTTTCTTATAGTACACTATTGTGCTGCAATGATATTATGAGTTGGAGATGTAATGGGAGCAGATGAACAATCAGAACAACTTCTGGTCAGCATCTTTTAATATGAATACAATCACTATACACATAGCTATTTAAAAAACCTAGTGTTCATTAGCATTTATTCTTTGCATTGACATTGACAGATATTTTCCACATTGAATTAATAATTTATAATTCAAAGACTGCAACTACTGTCTGCCTAAAATACAAAACAATATTTTGGATAACTGAGTTATTTCTCAGTGCTCATTTTTTCATGTTTTTTTGAAGTGAGAGCTGCATTCTAATAGAAGAAAAGAAATGCATATATTCGTTCTTAGGCAGTCTCAAGTACAGAGAATTGATGCAGCAAATGAAATAGAAAATGGATTTATTCTTATCTAGGTACTTTCTTAATATAGAAGAGTATATTTAGAAATCTAAACATTAATTGAAGGAGAAAAACCACTAATAAGCTCATGACACAAGCAAGTAAATCATGTCTAAAAATCACAAGACCAGGAAGTTGTATGGGGCATCAATTCTCAAAAAAAGCTTTCCTTTGTCACTCGTAGATAACTCCTTAACTCCTGGAGTATAACAGACATAGAACTTGATCCCATACAGCCTACATCCATAGCAAGATTTTACAAGTATAACTAGGGTTAGTGGTTTGGTATTTTGCAGAGTTATGTCAGCAAAAGCCCTAGTAAGTAGGGATGTGAATGTTTAACCGGTGGAGGCTGCTCTAGTCTCCTGAGGCCTGCTGTAGGCAGGAGGCACTCCAGTCCTGCCAGAGCAGCCCTGGTCTGCAGTATGTGTGTGCGCGGGGGGGCTGCCTGCTCACCCTGTTTAATTGGTTAAATCAGTTAAACTTAATGTTTAAACTGGTTAACTAAGTAAACAGAATTTTACATCTCTATTAATAAGGATACATTTATGCAGAACACAATGGTTTATACTGCCATAAGTTATTTTGATTCCCAAAATGGAATAATCTATAGTAGTATGAACACTTTTATACAAGTATAACTGCACCTACACTAGAGAGTGTACACTTTTACTGTATTGATGTAGCTCAAGCAGCAAACTTTTATAATAGATATGCCTAATTCACAAAAGTAATCTCATACCACTGGCATCAGTACTTACTTAAGATGAGTAAGGCTTGCGGCATGAGACGTATCTCCTGAGAATACAATTTACACTTACTTTATCCATACGGTCTTGTTCCACGCCGAACTTCCCTCCATAGCCACGGGAAGCTTTTGGTCCTGTTTCAAGCTCTTTCTCCTTGAGGCTCTGATGTTCTTGGAACACATTCTCTCTCAGCTGGTGAATGCTTTAAAACAGAGAATCCACTAGTTATATAATAAATTTGGTAGACATGAGTAAAATTAAGATTTCCTCAGAGCCAAAACTTTCTACCTGATGTGCTAATTTTGCACCCAAAAACCTGATCTTAACTTTAGGTTTAGATAGAAGATAAATGTTGGCAATTGGACAATATACGCTTCATTTTAATCCTTCAGTACACTAAATCCTTTAGGTATGGTTTTAAGAACTACGACATTCATTTCATCGTGAAATCTGTTTTCAAAAATCAAAAAACCCAGAACAAACCTCAACCTTTAAAGATACACCATCCTCCATATGGGCTAGTTTGCTATTTGATATTAATCCTAAAGAGTTAGTTTCCTAGTTACCAAAAATGTTTTTGTAACCCTAGTGAGGTATTTATAAGGCCCTCATCACTGTAGCATTTTCTCTTCCCCTCTTCATGCCTTTCTTGCTAGTTCTCCCCTACTGTGTGTGTTTTTGGAAGGGTGAGAGAGAGGAAGAATGGAGGGGAAAACAGATTGTAAGCTTTTCAGGGCAGGGAGCATCTCTTACAGTGTGTTTGTACCATACCTACAATGGGGCCCTAATCCCAACTGAGACTTTTGAACATTATCCTAATATAAAACAGGGAGGAATTACAAGTAGGCTGATTTTCATTCCCCTCTGACAAGCTTTCTCTGGAAGTAGGAAAAGAGGTTGGATATAGGGGAAAACTAGTGGCCTGTGCTTGAAGACACTTCCCATGAGTTTAAAACTACCTGAAGAACAACTACTGAATACTTAGCCTTTAAATATCAGCAATGTACTCCAGAGAGTAAAATCAATCCCTGAAGTAAACAGAATGGCCATAGAGGGCTCAGACCATCTAGCCCAGAATCCTGCCTTCCTATGGTGGCCAATGCCAGATGCTTCAAGGGAATGAACAGAACTGGGCAATTATCAAGTTATTCATCCCGTTGTCCAATCCCAGCTTTTATTAATTAGAGGCTTACGACACCCAGAGCATGGGGTTGAATCCCTGATTACCTTGGCTAATAGTTATAGTTCAAGCTCTCGCAACACTCCTTGGCAAGGAGTTCCATAAGCTGACTGTGCATTTCTTTTTGTTGCAACCCTGCTTCCTATTAAATGGATGATCTCTGATTCCTATGTTATGTGACTTAAACAAGACTTCCTTCTTCACTTTCTCCATACCATTCATGATTTTATAAACCCTATCCTTTTCCCAATGGTTCCTTACATCGTTGGCTTTTTTCATTGCTACTACTCATTCAGTAGATTTTTTTGCTCAGGATAGGCCACTTTACTATTAAAAATGTCACATACTTCACTAGTTCCCTATTTTTAGCATTTATGACATTTAACACATTCAGAGAACAATGGATACCTACATACTAAAATGACAGAACAGCTAGAACACTCTTTAGCTTTCAAAAGCTGAAGTCAATTCTGAGACTAAAATTTCAAGCATGGTTGTAAAAATACCATGCCATTTAAACAAGCTTGTGAACTGATGGTCCATAGTGACACATACATTTTCTGATAGAAGCTAAAATATTGTTACAAAATATTTTGGCATGTCAGAATTTTTAGAAGTTAGACAATTTTTAAGTCAATTCTAGGAATATATGGTCTGAAACTATCCCAGAAAAAGGAGCTGTATGACCAACCTGCCTCAAAATTTCCATGTCACGTGGAGACATACATCTTTTCATGTGAACACAACTGACCTCCAAAGTGTAACTGTGAATATTACAAACCTGCAGCCAGAAAGCAAGACTTTGTATGTGCCTGCAGACACAAACCAGGCAAGAAGAAGAATGTTTTCAGCAAAGAAAACACTGTAATATCAAATCTTATCTTACTTTACAACTAGAGATGCTGACAGCCATAAGAGGCTGACAACTTTGGAAAGGATTTCTGTAACCAATGCTGTATAAAGAGTCTCTTAAATTTTATCCACAAAGATGTAAATTACTAAGGATTTGAATTTATCAAAAATTGCCTACATTAACAGTCAACAAGGATTCAAGAGAAGAGCTAGTTTACTTGATGTGTTCTTGATGTCCCGATCCTTGCACAGTTTTAGCACCCCAGCGCTGTTCTTTCTCACTCACGTCATTCTGTCAAAGATATGTAATAAGTTAAAACTACTACATTTTAACCCAAGATATCAGAGCTTCAGCATTTTGAAGGTTTTAAGGTTCTGTCATGCCACTGAAATTAGAAAGATTAGGCAATAACGTCATTGTCCTATTCACCAGTTTCTTCTACAATCACCTCCCTTTTCTATCATCACCAATTAATAGAATATACTCCCAGTTCAAAATCATTACGTCTTCATATAAACCCTTCTCTTTTTTCCTTCAAATGCCCAGCTAACAAAAGCAATTTAATCAATCGCGCGCGCACACGCACTCACAAAATAGGATCCTAGTTATTCTTTCCTACAGGCTGCGAAGTATTTCCCATATATTCTGCATATACTCTTCCATATACTTAGCCTGTAGCTCTTCAGAGCAGAAACTATCTTCACTGTACTATGTAGCACTGCTTAAATAACATTTGAGAACCATACCACAAAATCAGGATCTGTCTCCCAGTCATCAGCTCCATCATTCTGGCTGACCGAAATGGTGTGACCTGCAGTAGCCTTCCACATCTGAAACACCATCAAAGGAACTATTGTCACACTGGAATTACATTTAACTTAATTTCAGAGAACTAGTCCAATATTTCTAATATACTAGAGAAGTAAATTATTTAACTAGACAACATTTATAATATTAGCAATTACAGAGGATGTGGTTACTAATATCAGTCTAGTTGGCAAAAGCAAAGGGACAACAGATAACTCCCTGTGGTTTTTCCAAGCATTATAAAAAGGCCAGAAATAATCATTGGCATTGTTTCAAAGAGACTAAGGAAGTTCCTTCTGGTAAAAGTCAATGTGTGTGCGCTTGCTTTATATATTAGTAATACATGATAAACCACTACTATTGGTAAGCTCTGTTCAAATAGATCTTATTAAAGTTTGCTTCACACGAAAAACAACAAAAAAATAACCCTTTTAACAGTCTGATCCCATACTTATGTCTTAAACGCAACATTTTTTTCTAGCATTTAGTAATGAGGAAACAGAAATTGCTAAATATTATAATCTCTAGGTTTCTTTCATGTTTCACATTGAGATTCAGATATCAAGTATTATGAAAACTATGCACAATTTAAAATGTTTGTCTACCATTTTGATTTAGTAGGCATTGGTCACTTGCATGCAATACTAGCACACAAATGACATTTTTAAATATCATATATCAGATATCAAGTATTATGAAAACTATGCACAATTTAAAATGTTTGTATACCATTTAGATTTAGTAGGCATTGGTCACTTGCATGCAATACTAGCACACAAATGACATTTTTAAATATCTTTAAACAAAAATATATGTACATCTCTTACATTACTCCTCTGTTTGCATATTATTTCAGTATAAAGTAAAAGGAAGATTGTCTTGGGAACAGGAAGTCTGAGAGATTTCTTGTACTTTTTATGAAGATTTAATTTGGGTGCTCAATTTGAGAGACAGTCAGGAAATTTGACTGTCAGTGAGAAAGAGCTCAGCACTTTCTGCAACATCAGATTCTTTTGCAGCATATCAAGTGGGGAACCCCAAAGACCAGACCAATATTCCCTCTAATTTTTTTCCATCCATGGGCAAAATAAATGTTATTTGCACCAAGACATGTGTGGATGTGCACACCAGTAGAAACACATGCTGCTGGCTGTGGTTGCTCTGCTAATGAGCTGAATCTCTCTTGGGTAGCTTTTATGATTTACTTCCATGGTTACCAAACCATCGATTGTGATCAACTGGTTGATCCCGGGAGCTCAACCAGTCAGTTGGGAGGCTTTCAAGGCTTCCCTCTCACTTCCCCTCCACCCCCAAGAAGAACCCCGCACTGATACTACCTCCAGCGACAATGGAGGTAGCGTGGGCTTCTTGCAGGTTGGGGGGAGTTCTGCAGCTGCGCACCAGGTCCAGGAAGTGCGCAGGCTGCTCTTCCCCCCTCCCCAGACAGCCAGAGCAGTACCTGAAACACCAGGTTAATTGTGCGCTGAGGACTTCCTTCCCGCTGCTGCCTTCCTGTGCGGGGGTGGAACAAGGAGGAGTTCCAGGACCACACTAGCTCCAACTGCTCAGGCAGCGTGCGCCCTGCTCCTCTTCTCCGCATGGCAGCTGCACGCTATCAGAGCAGTTCGAGCTGGCGCGGTCCGGGACTCCTATTCCCTCCGCCCCCAAGTAGGAAGGCAGCAGAGGGAAGGAAGTCCTCAGGCACACCTCCTTCCCCCTCCCTCCTGGCCAGACACCTACCTGCAGCTTGCTCCTGTACCCTATTTTCCACCAAGATTCTGTGCCTCTTCTCTATCCCACTCACTGGCAGCCCTGTCCCACACACAAGATCCCTGATTTTGGGTAGAGGAGCCCACAAATGCCACTAACCAGGGCTTGACAAGCACCGGCGAGCCCCGCTCGCCAGCTGCGCAGTTTGGCACACTGCGCATGTGCTGATCGCGCTGCGGCACAATGCCGGGCTAAAATCTACTCGCCACGGGCGAATAGATTGCCCTAATTGTTAAGCCCTGCCACTAACCTTGGAACCCAGAAGAGTTAATCTGGCCCGGGCTTGGAGTTCCAGGGGAGAGAGGTGTCTCAGTTGGGACCACATTAGTGAGATTTGGGGTTTTTTGGAGGGTTTTATTTTGCATCTCATTTGTCTGGCTTCAACTGACTTTTCTGTGGGTCAGTGACCCCGACTCAGAACAGGTTCCCTGCCCCTCTCGTAAATAAAGACAACGCTGAAACATTTTATTTGACATAATATTTAATTTAAAAATGAAGCCTGGTCAACAAGCCTCCATCTAGCCTCAGCATCATAACACTCCTGCACACCCACACCCCCAGACTCCAAACCTGAGCCTATCAGACACTGGAACCCCTCTGTCCTGAGCCTCTCATCCCCAAACTCCTGCACCCCCACATCTCCAGTCTTCTGCCACAACACTCCTGCACCATCCACACAGTGTCCTGAGCCCATCATACTCCCAACCTCCCTACCCTGAGCCCCTCACGCACCCCAACCCAAACTCCTGCACCCTCACATCCACAAGCCTGTGGCTTTCTCCACACCCCCA